GATTAAGTGACCTACCATAAACTGTACATATGTAAAGTGTACAGTTTGATAAGCTTGGACACACATGTACACCCATGAAGCCGTCATCACCATCATGATAATATATTTGGCTTATTGGTCTTTAAGTTTATTTATTTATTTATTTATTTAAAAGATGGATTTATTTGAGAGAGAGAGAACAGGGGGGAGGGGCAGAGGGAGAGAAGCAGACTCCCCACTGAGCTTGATCTCATGACCTTGAGACCATGACCTGAGCTGCAGTCAGGAGTCAGGCACTTAACCAACTGAGCCACCCAGGCGCCCCTCAGTCTTTTAATTTAAGTTAATTAATAAGATGAAAAATTCCATCCTTCGGTCGCGCTGGCCATGTTTCCTACGCTCAGAAGACACTTTGAGTCCTGTGGCTGCTATGTATGTATTTGGTTCCCAGCGGTTTTCCTGGCCAGGATAAATGCGCACGAAAGCCAGGGCCTCGTTGGTCATTTTCACAGTGTATCCGAGGGCTGGTTCATGGGGCGCTCGGATGAGACTGGGAGGGACGGAACATTCCAGCTAAGACTTGGGAAAGGTTTGTTCGGTGAATAAGTGAATGGAGAGAACAGGTTGGTTGGACAAAGAGGGTGTAGGTACATCAGCAGATGTTGATTCAGCACTGAGAGGCAGAGGGGGCTTGGCCAGAGCATGGGCACCAAGTGAGGGAGATGGGGCCCCAGCAGACCTTTCCAGGGTCAGCCCAGCAGGGGGGCCTGGAAGGGAGCTCCAGGGGACAAAATGGTGGGTAGGGGGAATAGGGCATGGAGGCAGCTCTTGGGTTGACCAGTGGTGGGTGACAGTGAGCACATTTTGGAGCCTTTCTCTGCTTCAGTTTCCTCATCTGTAAAGTGGGGATAATAGCATTTACCTTATAGAGTTCCCATGAGGGCCTGATGACTTAGTGCATGTAGGTTGTTTAGAACAGCATCCTTCCGCTCCATATGTGTTCATCATTATTAAGGGAGGTTAATAATAGGCAGGAACCTAACTGGCAGGTTCAGGTCATTAGGACCCTCACCTTGGCTCCCAGTGAAAGTACAGAAACCTGGCCCTGGATTCATGAAATCCCTTTCTGTGGTTTCCTCCTGTATATGAACTTGATGTCTACAGGTTACCTTGCAGGACCCTCTCTTCTGTTCTCTCATTCATTTGCTCACCTGTGCATACACCTCTGCTACTCTGTGCCTGTTTTGAGTTAACCTCACCCCCCCGCATCTCCCCAGGGCACGTTCGCCTCCCAGGTGACACTGGAAGGGGACAGGTTGAAAGTGGAGCGGGAGATTGATGGGGGCCTGGAGACCCTGCGGCTGAAGCTGCCTGCCGTGGTGACCGCCGACCTGCGGCTCAATGAACCCCGCTACGCCACATTGCCCAACATCATGGTGAGCGCTTAGCGGACGGGTCCCCGAGGGCCCGGGGATGGGTAAACGCATTGCAGGCCCAGTGCCTCCCTGGTGCTCAGATGCAGGGACAGAGGATCCGAGGGACTTCTTATCCAAAGGAAGGGCTCACCCGGCCAAAAGGAAGAGTTCGCTGTTCATCATGGCCAGTAGGATGGGTTCATTGGGTCATCTTAGCCAACAGGGAGAGTTGAGCATGCCATCCCAGCCAAGAGGAAGGGTATGGTGGATCATCTCATCCAGTAGGATGGGTTCAATGAGTTAGCTCAGCCAACAGGGAGCGTTCAGTGGGTCATCTCATCCTCCAGGAGGGTGGGTTCCGTGGGTCGGCTTGGCCAAAAGTCCATTGAGTCATTACTGCCAGAAGATTGACGTTGCCAGTCCATTTCGGCCAGTGAAGGGCTTCCAAGGCAGCTGACTTAAAGAGGACCCTTAACAGAGGGGCTTCTCAGGCCATCCCTGCCCACAGAAATGATCTATACCGGGCCCCGTAAGAGGTCACAGATGTCCTGGCTAGTGGGGAGGTCCAGACAAGTTCAGGCAATGGGCTTGGTTCTGCAGACGTGGCAGTCACAGGGAGGAGGCTGCCGGAGAGGGGGCAAGGGCTCCAGCAGCCCCGTGAGCTGTGGCTGCCCGTGTGCAGAAAGCCAAGAAGAAGAAGATTGAGGTGATCAAGCCCGGAGACCTGGGTGTGGACCTGACCTCCAAGCTCTCCGTGGTTAGCGTGGAGGACCCGCCCCAGCGTACGGCCGGCGTCAAGGTGGAGACCACGGAGGACCTGGTGGCCAAGCTGAGGGAGATTGGGCGGATTTGAGCCCCTTCCCTGAAACTCAGCAATAAAACCATGACCCTCCCAACGACTGTCTCTGTTAACTCATTCCCTGGAGACCTGGTCTTTGATTCATTCAACAAACATTTACTTAAATCTCCTGTGTGCCAGGCCCTGTGCTGGGTGATGCCGGGGACCCAGGTGAGTCACATCCAGTCCCTAAGAAGCTTCCATGCTGAAGTGGTGGGGGATGGACACGTGCAGAGGCAGCTGTATGTAGGGTGCTGTACGCTCTAAGCAGAGGTGACACCACACACTTGGGAGCCCACCTGGGGCACCTTGACCTGGCACATGGGGCCAAAGAGCTTTCCCAGGGAGATGGCATCTCGGTTGAGTCCTGAAAGACACCTATCCGTGAGGTGGGGAGAAGGGCTTTCATTTGCAGAGTGTTTGCCGGGGACTCCCCGGGGACTCCCAGGTGCCAGGCTCTTGCCAAGACTCGGGGTACAAGAGGGAACAAAGCTGTGGAAGCTCAAGCTCAAAGCTGTGGGGAGACAGACAGACAACAGTCAAAACCTCATGTGGGGATGAAGAGCCAGGGTCTGGAGTCAGACTTGGTGATTTTAGAGCCTCGCTCACAGTTACCGGCTGTGGGATCTTGAGTGAGTGACATCCCGTGTCTGAGCTTCAGTTTCCTATCTGACTGATCAGAATAGGAAGGGCTTACTGTAGTGGTTAAGGGCTCAGGGTCTGGATCCTGGGGCCGTGGCCAGACCATTCCCTGGCTCTGGGAGAACTCTGGCAAGTTCCCCCTCTCTGAGCATGGATTTCCTCCTCCCTCAGGTGCAGTTAGTAATAATACCCATGTTCTGGTTGTCTGGCATGGCATAACGAACCACCCCAAAACTCAGAGGCTTAAGCCAACAGTCATTTATTTTGCCCATAAATCTGAAATTTGGGCAGGGCTTGGCAGGACAGCTCACCTCTTCAGGCGGCATCGGCTGGGGTCTCAAGTGGGGCCAGAGGATCGACATCCAAGATGACTCTGTCATGCGGCCGGCAAGCTGGCCAGGGTTGTTGGCTTGAGCTGGCTGTTGCCCAGGGGCCACGATTCCTCTCCGGGGGGGTTGCTGGAGCTTCATCACGGCATGGCGGCTAGGTTCCAAGAAGGAGCATTCCACCACACATGAAGGGGAATATGCCAGTCTGCAGGCTGAGAAGCAGACGCGGGAGTGGGGTCACTTCTTCTCTACTCTCTTTAGCCGGATCCGAGGGGGAGGGACATAGACCCTACTCCTTAAGGGAGGAGGGTCGAATTTGCAGGCATCTTTAAGCTATAAAACTTACCCCATTAATGTAGCCCCTCCCCCCCCCAGAACGACACCTGCCACAAGGAAGGTGCTCACTCTGTATGTTTACCATTGTCATTACCATCAGCGTGGTAAGAACTCTCCGGAAAAACTCAGGACTGAGCTGAGCAGAGGCCCTGGGCCCAGCATGTGGTGGTAGGAGCTTTCAGAAGGAGTGAGCAGTCTGACTGCCCTGAGCCAAAGCCCAGCTCTGCCCTCTGGCTGTGCAACCTCCTGCAGGTCCCTTGACCTCTCTGAGCCATAGTCCCCTGGCCTGTAAAATGAGGATAATGACACCCAGCTCATAGGGCATTTGCAAGTGTTCGGGCAGATAATGCCTGGGAAGCATTTCGCATTGTTCCTGGCACAGGAGAAGTGGTAATTATTATTATGATTCTTAACCAGGTGAGGCTGCAGGACAAGTTGTTGGTGGGGGGGGGGGGGGGCAGGGAGTGAGCAGAGCATTCCAGGCAGAGGAGAGACGGCCTGCAAATCTGGGAGGGGAGAGATGGGGCATAAGAATGGCTGGATGTTCAGAGTCAGAGGGTGGAGGGTGTGGCCGGAGTGGGTAGGTCTGGGCCACTCTGGGTCTAGAAGGGACCTTGGATGTCTCCTGAGGGCACAGGGGAGCCACGGGAGGGGCAGGGGCAGAAAGGGGTCAAGTGTGGATCCGGAGACTGGTGGAGGCTGGAGGCTGGAGGCTGGAGGGAGGAGGCTAGGGGAGAGGACAGTTCTGAGCAGTGGAAAGGGAGAGGAAGGGGCAGGGGAGGAGGGAAGAAGGCTCCCAGCCTCTGCATAGATGTGGAACCGCACTTGAGGTGGAGAACCCAGGAAGGGGGTTGTGTTGGAGGGAAGATGCTGAGTTGGATGCGATGCAAGGCATTTGAGGCCCTGGGGGGCACGGAGATGCAACTCTGGGTCTCGGGAGAGGGTGGGAGACAGCCAGTGGAGATTTGGTCTGAGGGCAGCAGGGAGCTATGGGAGGAGTTGGAGCAGAGTAGGAGCAGGGTCAAATGCAGGTATCTGAGGCTGCAGGCAGGACAGAGTGGATTCAGGGTCAGAGGCTGGTGAGGAGGAAGCCTGAACTGCGGCTGAGGCCATCAGAGGTGGGGCTCTCTGAAGGGTCACCTCACCCTCCTCCAAGAAGTCTTCCTGGCTTTTGTTCCCCACGGGTTTGCTACCACGTTTCCGCTGGGACCCATCTCTCACCGTCTTCACCCCAGGGGTAGGGAGTGCAGGGGTCAGATGGGACGAGCTGATGAGGACCAGTGGGGTGGGGTGGCTGGATCTGCCACTAGATTGGGGGTGGGGGATCCTGGCACCTCCCACTGGGTCTGGTTTCCTTCCCCGCCCAGGAAGCTACCAGTCCTGTCGGACTCGTCGACCGGGGAGGCACAGGTGCAGGCCCTGGAGTCTCACTCCAGTGTCCTCATGGGTGCGGCCAGCACCATGGACACCTCACGGGCTCTGCTGCTCTTCCTGCTCCTGGGTAAGTCCCCTGCTCGGCCCCTTCCCCACTGGTTCCCTTTCTCAGCAGCCCCTCAACGCCCCCTCCCCTCCTCTCCTTGCAGCCTCCCGAGGAGGGGTCCTCACCCACGGAGCCTCTTCTGGAGTTCAGCAAACCAATTTCTCCCTGGACTCAGAAAGCTCTTCCCATGGCCCAGGTTCAAAAGTCTCCTCCATCAAACCCCCCAGCTGGAAATTTCCAGATCAGTCTCCAGGTACAAAAAGCACTGCTGCTGTCCCTCATTCCAAATGGTTTCCTGAGGCCTCGAATTTTAGCGATGTGCCCAGGTCCGTCTGGCCAAATGTTTCTGCTGAGGGCCAAAAGCTGAGCCTGGATCCTACCTTCTCTGAAATCCCGGATTCCGAAGTATTTTCTGATGTCTTGGGTTCTCAAGTTCCTGCCAAAGACTCGGAGCCCTCCTCCTCTGTTAAGACCCCAGCTTCAAACATTTCAGCTCAAGTCCCAGATCCTGAGGTATCTGTTGAGACCCCAGGTTCAAAATTCTCCCCTGAGGATCAGGATCTTGACATCTCTGCCCAGAACCCCGAGTCCAAAGTCATCGCAGCAGCTCACCCAGAGGAAAGCCTCCCCCAGCAAGTGGGGAGGCCTCTCTCGGTGCTAGTGGGGACCACCATCTGGCTCCCTCTAGTTCCGGTTCCCAGCCCCAGCCCTCCTGCTCCTCTGGTTGTCTGGCGCCGAGGCTCCAAGGTGCTGGCAGCTGGAGGCCTGGGGCCAGGGTCCCCCCTGATCAGCTTGGACCCTGCTCACCGAGACCGCTTACGATTTGACCAGGCCCAAGGGGGGCTGGAACTTGCCTCTGCCCGGCTGGAGGATGCTGGGGTCTACACTGCTGAGGTTATCCGGGCTGGGGTCTCCCGGCAGATTCGGGAGTTCACGGTGGGTGTGTATGGTAAGTGAGTACTGAGGTCCAGGATGCAGGCCCTTTGGGCAGGTGGCTGCTATCTGCCCATGTTTTCTCCCCTGAGGAAGGGGGTCCCTCGGCAGGGGAGACAGGACTTCTAGGTTGGAGGGAGGAAGGATAAGAGGGGCTGGGGGTCAAGACAAGTGTTCTTGAGGGAAGTTGGACCTGGGGATCAAGACCCCTGGGGGTTTGGAATCTTCAGTCTCTGAGAGGAGAGAGTGGGGGACTCAGACTTATGGGTCTGTGAGGAGGAGGACTCCTGGGGCTCGTTTCAGAAGTCCTGGGTGGGAGGAGTGGAGAAGGCTGGGGCCTGGAGTCCTGGATCTAGGGGGCGAGGGGGCCGGGGACCAGGTCCTGAGCCCATCTCCCTCCCCCAGAGCCGCTGCCCCCGCTGTCGGTGCAGCCCAAGACCCCCGAGACAGAGGAGGGGGCGGCCGAGCTCCGGCTGCGCTGCCTGGGGTGGGGGCCGGGTCGCGGGGAGCTGAGCTGGAGCCGGGACGGACGCACCCTCGAGGCAACGGACCCTGAGGGAGCTGAGCCACCCCGGATCCGCACAGAGGGCGACCAGCTGCTCATCATGCGCCCTGTGCGCAGCGACCAGGCCCGGTACACTTGTCGCGTCCGCAGCCCCTTCGGCCACACGGAGGCTGCGGCTGACGTCAGTGTTTTCTGTGAGTGGGGGTGTGCCTCGGGTTGGGGGCCGTGATCTGGGAGCTCAGGGAGGGGGGGTTGGAGGTCCAGCGCCCAGGGGTCGTGGCGGAGTCCCGAGTAACCCTGGCTCCTCCGGTCCGGACCCCTTCATCCAGACGGCCCGGATGCACCGGTCATCAAGGTCTCCTCGGACCGCGACGCCGCCCCCGCCCTCTATGTCACCGCGGGCAGCAACGTGACCCTGCGCTGCACCGCCGCCTCGCGGCCGCCCGCCAACATCGCGTGGAGCCTGGCCGACCCGGCCGAGGCAGCGGTGCCCGCCGGCCCGCGTCTCCTGCTGCCCGCCGTCGGGCCGGGCCACGCCGGCACCTACGCCTGCCTCGCTGCGAACCCGCACACCGGTCACCGCCGCCGCTCTCTGCTCAACCTCACGGTGGCGGGTGAGCACGGCCGGGGCGGGATGGAGCGGGGTACCCGGAGAAGGCGGGGCCACAACGGAGGGGCGGGGCCAGATTAACAGGGCGGAGACTCCTGGGCAAGAAGCGATCTCAACAAATTAAGCAGAGGGTCAAATGGCGAAGAGTGGAGACCAGAAAGGGGAGGGACTGAAGGCGCTTGGGCCAGTAAGTGGGATGAGCAAATAAAGAAATTACCTGGGAAGGGGGCGGAGTCACAAGAGAAAGGGGGCTGGGTCATTCTAGAAATGGGCGGAGCTGTCTTAGCTGTGGGACGGGGCGCAACCGGAGGGACGTAGATGTCCGGCTAAAGGCCCGGAGTAACTTGGTGGAAGGGGTGGGACTACAAAAGAAGGGGCGGGGTTAGGTTTGCGAGGAAGGAAATCAGTGCAGAGTTGGAAAGAGAGGCGGTCAGTGGGGCTGCAGCTGCCCACTTAGCCCGGAAGTGTCTGGGAAAGGGAGCTGGGTGGCGAGAGAATGGGGCGCGGACGGCGCCTACGGGCTGGTGCAGAAGAGTTGGCGTGAAAGCGCGGAGAGGCGGGGCTGGAGGGGTGAGGGGAGAGAGGCTGACCCCTTGATCTCTCCCTCCGCCCCACAGAGCTGCCTCCCGGGTCCCCACAGTGCTCAGTCGAAGGCGGCCCGGGGGATCGCAGCCTCCGCTTCCGCTGCGCATGGCCCGGCGGGGTCCCTGCCGCCTCTCTGCAGTTCCAGGGCCTCCCTGAAGGCGTCCGCGCGGGGCCGGTGCCCTCTGAGCTCCAGGCGGCTGTCCCCGCCCACCCCCGACTCAGCGGCGTCCCCGTCACCTGCCTCGCTCGCCACCTGGTGACCACGCGCACCTGCACTGTCACCCCGGGTGAGGGCCGGCGGGACTTCTTTCCTGTTTCCCGAGGAGGGGGTCTTTCTTAGCTTCTTTAGGAAATGAGAAAGGCAGACTTCTGACTCCAGGAAAAGAGATTTCCTTTTCCTTAAACCCTACAGAAGGACCGAGGTTTTTCCCATACCTCAGGCAGGGGAAGGGCCACAATTTCTTTCCTGGACCCAGGAAGAGGGCTGACACCTTCCTACGTGTCCAGAGCAATAAAGGCTCTAGAATAATATGAGTTCCCCGGCTCAGAACCTGGTCCACAGTATGTATCTAATAAGTCGTTATTAAGGACATCAGGTGATGGTTGAATGAGAGAGTGAGTGAACGGGCAGTGCTTCCTTGTTTGCTAAAGTTTCACAGCGATTTACTTCACCAAAGGGCGCAGGACTTGGTCTTTGACTCCAGGGTGAGGTCTTGACTTGGCTGGGTTTCTTCTACCTGCAGAGACCCCTCGGGAGGTGCTGCTGCTTCCCACAGTGGAGGAAACACGGTCAGGGGAGACAGAGGTGACGCTGGAGGCCACTGGCTGTCCTCCCCCATCGAGAGCATTTTGGGCCCGGGAAGGGCGGCCCGTGGCCCCAGGCGGTGGAGGTCGCCTGCGGCTCAGCCAAGATGGGCGCAGGCTCCTCATTAGCAACTTCAGTCTGAATTGGGACCTGGGAAATTACTCCGTGTTGTGCAGTGGGGCTCTGGGTGCTGGGGGCAACCTGATCACGCTCATTGGTGAGTTCATTTCTTTCCCAGAACCCAGAAGTCCAGGTCCTCCAGCCCTCTCTAACCTCAAACCCAGTCCCCAGCTCCTTCTCCCTCAGATCCAAGAGTCCAGGCCCTCAGTCTCTTCCTCTTGTAGGCCTAGAAGCCTCCCCAGACCTTTTGCTCCCAGAACCTGAGTCCAGGCCTGCAGCCCCCTTCCCTCTCCCCTCTAGGACCCATAAATTCAACCCCCACCTTAATCCCCCCAGGACCTTCCATCTCCTCATGGAGGCTGCAGAGAGCCCAGGATGCCGCAGTGCTGACTTGGGATGTGGAACATGGGGCCCTGATCAGTGGTTTTGAGATCCAGGCACGGCCAGAGGGCCCTGACCTGGGTAGAGCCACTACCTACAAGGACTGGATCTCCCTACTCCTCCTGGGGCCTCAGGAGCGGTCAGCTGTGGTGCCCCTTCCTCGTCGGAACCCCGGGACCTGGGCCTTCCGTATCCTGCCCACCCTGGGGGGCCAGCCAGGGACCCCATCACAAAGCCGAGTCTACCAGGCCAGTGAGTTGGGGCTGTTGGAGCCTTTTCCTGGGCTGCCTCCCTCAGTCTGTTTCCTTGTATCCTGCTTGTCTGCTTGTGTCTGTTTTCTGGGGCTACGGTCACAAAGGACCATGAACTGGGCGGCTCGAACAAACAGAAATGTATTCTCTCCCAGCTCTGGAGGCCAGAAGTCAGAAATCAAGGTGTCTGTGCTCCAGCTCAGGGAAATCAGGGCCGTGCTCCCTCTGAGACTCGGGGTAGAATCTTTGCCGGCCTCTTCCGGCTTCTGATAGTGGGCCATCAATCCTTGGCCTTCCTTGGCCTGTAGCCGCATTGCTGGGGTCTCCGCCTCCAGCTTCCCACAGCCTCCTCCTCCCTTTGTGGGTCTCTGTCTTCTTCTTGTAAGGACTCTATAGTCATATTGGATTATGGCTCATCCTAATGCTCTCATCTTGACTTGATTGGTTGAATTGTGTCTCTCCCCAAAAGATATATTGACCTCTTAACGCTCAGTGCCTGTGAAGGTGACCTTATTTGAAAACAGTCTTTGCAGAAGACTGACTCTATTTCTATGATAACACATTATTTCTGTCATAGCACATTTATTTTTCTTCCTAGTGCAACCTGTGATTATGTTATTAATTTGTGCATTCATTTCTGATTTCCCTAAAAATTAATCCCCATGAGAGTGGGTACCCGGGTTTGCTCACCAGTGGATTGTTACCATCTGGTAGAATGCCAGTCACACCCGTTACTTAGTAAATGCTAGATAAAATGCGATTCCGGGGTCCCAGATTCCTGGCTTCCAAAACAGTTGGAGCAGGTTGCTTAGGAAACTTGGGTCCAGCCCTGGCTCCTTATCCTCCATCTCTCTGTGTCTTCCAGGTCCCACCCTGGGCTCTGGGGCCATTGCTGGCATCATCCTGGGCTCCCTACTGGGCCTGGCGCTCCTGGCAGCACTTCTCTACCTGTGTATCTGCTGCCTGTGCAGCCTCAGGGGTAAGTGAGGGTCTCCCCCGGGAGGGTCCCAAGAAAGAGGCCCATTGGAGACCTGGCTGAACCAGTCAGCACCGCCACAGGTCATTCATCTCGCCTTCTACCTCCATATCAGCCAATCAGGCAAGGCTCCGCCCCTCAGCTTGGAGCAGCCAATCCCGTGTTTCTGTTTCTCTTCCTCCTCTTTCCAGGAGACTCTCTTAAAAAGAAGCATCGTCCCTCCTCCTTGACCCCTGTGGTTCCCCCGCTGGAAAAAAAGATGCAGAGCGTAACCCCAGTGCAGACCTCACAGCCTCTGCCCCTCAAAGTCCCGCTGGAGGACCCTAGCCCAAACAGGGCCCACCAAGTGAGTGTGGGTGCCCCAGTGTCCTCGAATGGGGAGGAGAACTTTTTGTGTTTTAGGGAGAGGAGGTGGTCTGAGTTCTCTTCCTCCAGCTTTACTTGTAGATTTACAAAGTTGGTAAACACCCCCCCCCCCGCTTTTAATACATAAAAATGGGACAGGAATTCCCATCCAATTTTTGTCATATGAAGAGTGAAATTCCACTTTCCCTCCAAAGGAGGGAGAACTCCTTTATTCTTTTCCATAAAAATTGGCAAAACTTCCATTTTCTATCCGACGTGGGATGGAATGTCTTCTTCCCCATAAAAGCTGGGTTGTCACATGTCTTGTCTCTCCCAAGGGTGGGCAGACATTTCTTTTTTCCCTGTTGTAAATGGAGGGAGCCCCGCTAATGTCTGACTGATGTGAGCTAGCATTAGAAAAGCATGAGTCATGTCACCCTCAGGGTAACCCCTGAGGTTGTCCCTTCCTTTCTCTTCCAGGCCACTGGCCCCAGTCCGGTCATCTCTACTGGTGGGGGCCCAAGGACTGTTCGGGCAGCCACACAGGTGTGACTAGGGCCCGCTCTGCGCAGGATTTTTTTTTTTTTTTTGGTAGGACCTCCCATTTCCCCCCAACAGCAGGCAGGGCCTTCCTGTCCTGCTGTGACTGAAGACTGGCCCCTGAATGTGAGACTCCCTGTCTCCCTCTCAGCGCAGAAGACTCTACTTGTATTTGTGCAACGAAGGAGCTGTGGCTTCTGGGTTGGGGGAGACTCCTGCTGATCTACCCGTGTGGTTTGCAAAACCTCCAGGCAGGCAGGACCTGCAGGCTCGGTGGTGGACAGGCCGGTGGACAGGCCGGGCTTGTCCTGTGCTGCTCCAAGCCCCGGGGAGGCGGCGGGGGGCGGGGGGGCAGCTTCTTTCTCTCAGAAGGTCTTCCTACATCCGCTTGTCTCCTCCAGGCCATGCCCCATCCCCCAGCTCCCAGCATCTGCAGCTTAAAATAGCTCAGACCACGTCCTCTCCTCTTTAAACCCTTCTGGGGATGCCCATTGCTCTTAAGATATTGTGCCGACTCCTCACTATGATTTTCAGAGCCCTGTGGTTTGACTTCTGTTGACCTCTGACCTCCCCTTCCGGGGAGGCTCTGTTTTGCCTCCAGGGCTTTGCCCCAGCGTTTGCTTTGCCTGGAACGCCACTCTTTGCTCCAGGTTATTCACTTCTCAAGTATAATGGTAATTGAGCTACGATGATTTATAGGAAATGTATATTTGGTCATTCAGATGACCAAAATATGTTTCTCAGATATCTTTGACCTTGCTCGATCCACAGTTCTTGAAAACAATTCAGAGCCATAGAGGTGAAATGGGTGTCTTGTTATTAGTGAGGGTGACTTTCGGATCCCACCCAAAGGCGGGGCTGGTGGCCTGGAGGACCAAACCTGTGATTAGAGGACTGGAACTTTCCCAAACCCCTCCCTGCCCCCCCTTTCCAGGAGGGGGAGGGAATGGAGGTTGAGTCAGCCAGTGGCCAGTGACTTGGTCAATCATGACGATATAATGAAGCCTCCATAAAAACCCATTTCTGGAGAGCTACCAGCCGCTGGAACCAGACTCTTCCCCTGTACCACTGAGCTGGGCCCCAAGCTCCACAAGGACAGACGTTCCTTTGTTTGGGAGCTTGCGCCGTGTATCTCTTCATCTGGTTGTTGATTCATATCCTTCCTCATATCCTTTAATAAACTGGTAAATATAAGGAAGTGTTTCCCTGAGTTCTGCCAGCCAGTTCTAGGAAATTAATCAAATCCAAGGAAGTGGTCTTTGGAACCTCCAGCTGTAGACAGTTGGTCAGTAGCATGGGTAGCAGTTTGGGGCTTGCAGCTGGTGTCTGAAGTGGGGAGTGGGGGTGGCAGTCTCGTAGGATTGCACCGTGAATCTTAGAATCTCCTGCTGTCTTTGGGGAGACAGCGTCAGAATGGAGCTGAATTCTCAGACACCTGGTATGTTGAGAATTCTCAGGTCTATCTAGATCAGCAACAGGTTGCTTTTCCCCGTTACATGGAAGATCTTGGGTCTGTGGGGATAGCAGTGGTGGGGAAGATAGCATGTCCAGGCTGAGAATGATAGAAACATTGTGTTGGGGGAGGGAACCCTCCAATGTTGGAATCGGGTCCAGAAACCCTAAAAATGTAACCATTACCAGCTTAGGAGGCTGCCGTGGTCATGGGTTTGGTCCCACAGCCTCTGAACCTCTAGCGTCTCTCACTTAAACCTGTATGTACTTGTTTAACCTCTGTCTCCCTCTCTAAACTGAGAACGTCATGAAGGCAGAGACCATGTCATTATCCCCAGCACTCAACACGGAACCTGGCACACAGCAGGTAATCAATAAATATTGGTTGACTGAGCAAATGTTTTGGCGCCAGTGGAAGGCTGGGCTTGAGGCTGCTCTCCCCAGCATGATGCCTTTCTTTCTTAGCTGGGTTTCTCATTGGAAATTTAGGGAGTGTGTCAATGAAGATTCCCTTAGCTGCAAGTAACAGAATCAATGGTAGCAAAATAAGTGGTGGTTTCAGGCTGGCTCAGCAACTTAGCAACCCCGTGAAGGACCTGAGCTCTCTGCATCCTTCTGTTCGGCCACCCTCAGTGGGTTGGCATATTGTCTTATGTGGCAAGATGGCTGCTAGAGCTCCAGGCATCACCTCTTCACACAACTGTATCTGAAGACAAAAGGAAGGGAGCAAGGTTCCCTTCCCACACCCCTTCCCTCGACCAGCCTCATGAGTGAGGAAAAAACTTTCCTGGAAGCCCATCGGCAAACTTCCCTTACTGACCCCACATTAGCCACATCACTGCAAGGGAGGCTGGGAAACCAAACATCTCAGCCTATATCATGGGGGGTGGGTCTGATAGCAAAGAAGGAAGAAACAACTAATGCATCTGTCTCAGGGAAGGGGGGATGTGAGGAAACAGAGCTCGTGGATCTTTTTGGAAAGGTGAAGGCTGGGGTCCTGGGTACCTGGATCCTCTCTATCTTTTCTGTATCAGTTAGACCTTTCATTTCCCTTTTAATCACTAGTAAGAAACATAACACAACTTGGCTTATACATTCAGGGGACTGCATTGCTTATGTAAATGAAGGTGGGCAACAGGTACATTTTGATCCAGCTACTCAAACGATGTCACCATGGACTCAGTTTCTTTAGACCTTCCTCTGTGTACTCCGTAGTGTTTCTGACATTCTCAGGCTGGACATGCTATCTTCCCCACCACTGCTATCCCCACAGACCCAAGATCTTCCACGTAACGGGGAAAAGCAACTCGTGCAGATCTAGATAGACCTCGTATCATTGTGTAATGGAGCAACTCCAAATCTACCGAAAGAGAGAGAGGGGGTAGAATTGACGTTGGGGAGGCACCACCAGTGACCCTTTGCCCTCCACTCACCCAAATCCTTAATGACCCTGACACTTGGCAGGCAGAGACTTTGGAAAAAGGCGTTTATTGGTGTGGTGGTCTCAACACTCCCCATGAATCAGAACACACGGCCCCCAGGGCCCCCCCGCCCCCTCCCTGGCATCCCTCCCCCACCCCTCCCCAACCCCCTGGACCCTGGGGATGGAAGACAATGTGGGATGGGGCCCACGCCCCCGTCTGAGGTACAGTCACTGCCCCTTGCCCCCCTGCCCCTGCTCTGAGTTCTTCCTCCCCAAGCTCTGGGTAGTGTGGTTTGGGGTGAGCGTTTCTAGCGGGTCTCCCAGGAGTCAGAGCTGGTGACTTGACATCTTGGTCTGGACTGGGGATGTCTGTGTGATGCCTCTCTCTTCCCCACTTTGTGTGATGTGGTGTGCCAGGATTGCATATTCCTACTAGCAGAGCTGAGGTTACAGCCTCTCAGTGCCCCCCTCCTGACAAGTTGCCCACCCTCAGGGGAACTACAAGCTGGTCACCAGCTATAGGACAGCTGGAGCCAGGGGGCTATTGCTGGTCACAGTCGCTGGTGTGTGTGTGTGTGTGTGTGTGTGTGTGTGTGTGTGTGTGTGTGTGTGTGTCGGAGTGTGTGTGAGGGCCGTCAGGTCAGCCTTTGGGAGGTACAGTCGGTGGAGAGGCCAGGGAGTGGTAGACCGGCAAGCCCACACCCGTGGGTGGCTGCAGGGGGCCGAGGGGAGTCGGGCGGGGGTGGGGTAGGGCAAAGCACTGAGACAGACAGGTGACCACAGGCACCAGTCTGACAGTTGGACGGAAGCACCGATTGGCCCAGATGGGGCCAGAAAGTCGGGGTAGGGAGGGGGGCAGAGAAAGTGGGAAGGTCTCAGGCTGCTGAGCCAGTGATGGGGCCTCTGGCTACAGGCAGCTGGTGGTTGACAGCAAGGAGGCCCAGAGCCAAGATGGGAGATCCCCCACCTGCTCACAAAGGCTGGATGCTAGCTTGACAGGTGAGTGCGAGACAGCCCTCCTCTCTCCCAACCTGGCCAGGAGACACTCAACGGGGGGGGGGGGGGGGGGGGGGGGGGG